TTGCGTAGATATCCCACATTTTCCGTATCCACTCATCTGATGATGGACATTTGGGCTGGTTCCCACTCTTAGCTATTGTAAAGAGTGCTGCAATGAACATTGGGGAACAGGTATACCTTCGACTTGATGATTTCCATTCCTCTGGGTATATTCCCAGCAGTGGGATAGCTGGGTCATATGGTAGATCTATCTGCAACTGTTTGAGGACCCTCCATACCATTTTCCATAGAGGCTGCACCATTTTGCAGTCCTACCAACAATGTATGAGAGTTCCTTTTTCTCCGCAACCTCACCAGCATTTATCGTTCAGAGTCTTTTGGATTTTAGCCATCCTCACTGGGGTGAGATGGTATCTCAGTGTAGTTTTGATTTGCATTTCCCGGATGCTGAGTGATGTTGAGCACTTTTTCATATGTTTGTTGGCCATTTGTATATCTTCCTTAGAGAAATGTCTATTTAGCTCTTTTGCCCATTTTTTAATTGGATTACTTGTTTTTTTCTTGTAAAGTTGAGAAACAATGCTCTTAACTAACTGTATCTGCTATCATTAGCAAATTTAAACTACAACAGAGTAAACAATGTATTACTATTATTACTCTCCTCTCTTTTAATTCTAAAATGAACTTAATTTCCCCTAACACTCATATAATTGATTAAAGTATCTAAAAATAAAAATATAACTTTTTTTTATAATTGACCCTCAAAACTACTCATTCAATTCAAATAAACTGCTCATCTTGGTTAACATTTTTGTAACAGATAATTAATTTTTGCTTAAAGAAAGAGAAAAAATTAAAACAATTTTTTTATGATGCTAACCATTTTCTTTTTGTAGCTGCTATAGTGCTTTAGAGCTGATTGAAAAGAGGTATTTAGGCCCAATAATAAACCATATTTTGTTGATAATTGATAGCTAGCTTTGTGTATTTTTTAGATGAAAATTCTACACATCCATTTAAATTTAGTTTATTTGCTTACTTTCTTACTTGAGCTTGTCCTGGGAATCATCCACTTTGTGTACCTGACTTTTAAAAAACATTTTAAAATACTACTTTTAAGCAGAAACAACCAGGGTGAAGTCATTTTTACTTGATGGCTGAGTTGATTATCTTAAAATAATTTTGATTTTTTTTGATGAGAAAATTCATAACGTCATAAAGAAAAATGAAGAGCAATTAGTTCAAAACCAAAAAAAAAAAAAAAAGATATCTGTGCACTTACTTTATAAATTTAAGCAGAGTCCTACCTTTTAAACTGTCCCAACTTTAATAAGTCCCTCAGCATTTCTAGTTATGTTTAGCATTTTTTGCTTCCTGGATATGTATAGTAGTTGTTTAAACCAAATTAATATAAATTTTGTATATCATATGGGCATTTTTGAGTTAGATGAAAAAATTTGTTTCTGCTGTAATTGAACGTAAGCCAACCTCAAATTAACTCATTCCTTTGAAAAGTGGAATCTTGCCACAATCTGGGTTGTCTTGTTCCTAGGATTCCAGACAACAGATCTGAATGATATTTTACCATACTGAATTGACCAGAGACTTTGCAGGAAATTAAACTACACTTTTTAAAAAGTAAGGATAGACTTTGTAACAACACAGTGTACTTTAATACAGAACAGCAAGAGAGAACCTGGAACTCCAAAAAAGTGAGAAAGCAAGTGAATGATAGTCCCAATTGATGTGTCAGAATTACAAAGCATGAGATTGTATTCCCAAGTACCAATACTTGTGACATAACATGCCTTGGGATGATTAGACTCAACCCCTTCAAAAAGTCAGGCCTGGCATGTGACTTGCTTTGCCCAATAAAATATGCACAGAAATAAAACATCTCACTGCTGGATGGAAACTTCAAAAGTCCTCTGTGGTTTTTCATTCTCTCCTCTCCCGGCTACTGTGATCAGCAAATGTTCCAGATGGAACCTATTCCTTCAGTCTGGGTCACGAAAGTGAAGGTAAGCTTTAAGAGTGTGTCCATATTGACATGCTCTTTTCAACAAAATCTTAATCCACTCAGATTTTAGGGTTGTGTTTCATTGCTGCATAAACTAATCTAAAACATAATTTTGCACATAATTCAAAACTTAGACTAGCTTAAAACCATATATATTTGTACTTACACACACATATGCATTGCTTGTTTACATATATATGTATACATGCATTATTTGTGCATGTATGTGCAAATAAATTTCAAAATTTCAAAATAAATATCACGTAGACATTTTGAACAAATGATTCAAGAGCCATTTGTGTATCTGACTTTTTAAAAGCCTAGATCACCAGGTCCTGGCACAGTGACAACTGAATCTTAATGCTCATCTTATCTTTGCTCATGACTGGCTAATCAGCTCAGCTCACTAAGTCCCGTACCCAGGCGTGATCCTGTCATCCGTCAGTTAAAAAGCATTGTAATACCTTAGCCTTATAAAATGCTTTTCTTCCAAGAACATCAAAGCAAATGAAAGCTTCTTTTACTTAACTCTGCTTATTGCTCCAGTGATATGTACATGTCAGGTAAATTATTCACACCGATCAACTGAGAAAATGAGGAGGAAAAGGTAACAAGACTGGCAGGAGGTAGCCAGAGAGATAGTGTTGGAGCAACGTTCACAACTTGCCTTTTCTCTCACAGCTCTCTGCCCCTTTCTACATCCTGCAATGATAAAGATATTATGTGCTCTCATCGTTTAAAAATATTATTATGGCAACCTATGATGTCCATTTCAAAAATAAGTGTGTAAATAAAGGTTTACTGATTATTCAGCCAAATCATAACAAAATGGCTTTTACTTATAAATGTTGACTTTAATAGCATCTGTGTAAATAATCTCCACTAATTAGAAACTCCTGAAGCAGTAATTAAATGTCTCCAGTCACAATTAAATGGAATTGAATACAAAATACCTGTACTGCTCTGACTGTTTCTGTAGAAAATAATTAAATTCAGGCAATAGATGCTCATGCATCATAAAATAATGGAATTGTCATGTGTGATGACCCTTGTGCAGAGTGAGCCTACTAATCTTACATTACACCCTGCCACACCTCCCCACCACGCCACTTCCCTGCTCCCACACCAACCTCCTGGGAGTTAGGAAAAGAGCATTTGTGCAGAGTTGACCTGAAGGTGAATAATAAAATAATAGTCATTTTGTTTCCAGAACTCTGCAAAGTGTATGAATATCTTTGTACACTCAAAACACACAATCACTTTCTAAAGTCCTCTTTGAACTAACCGGAAGCAAGCTTGATCATTGCCTGAAGAACTAATACGTAAGAAGTGATAGTGCAGAGATAATGCAGAGATTTCGATAATAGGTCTGCCCATGAGAGAACTGGAAAGATTTTTGGATTTTTTTAAGAATTCCAATATGAACAATAGTGGACGAAAGAGTTGCAAAATTACAAGTGAAACCAATCAGGACAGCAATTACAGCAGCTTTTCTGACAATAAAAAAGAATTTCTAGGCCAATCTGTTGTCTTCACACGAAAAGAACACGATAGACATGCAGCATATGTCTGCACGAATGGCACCCACCAGGCCCGAGGGATTTACGACACTGCTCAGAAAAGTCACTGATATAAGGCAGTGGTTTCTCATTACTCCAATCGCCATTTTCTGCCGTGACAGCAGATTCCCCTGGAGGAAGTGAAAGATCAGAACTCAGAGAAGCTGCTCTTCTTACTGTCTCTATCTGTGGTCACTCCCTGGGCCACCCTGACTTTCCTCCCTGCTTGGAGAATAAAGGATGCATTTCACTCCCTAATGACTCTCTGGACATGTGAGTCATTCTTGCAAAATTTAGAAAGTAAGGGGACAGGAATTGCATTTTCAAACATAGCTGACAACAGAGTATATAATCTTTTTATAGCATTTTCTTTATATCGATTCACCTAGTGAGGCAAAAGAATTGGAAGGCCCCATGTCAGGATAATGGAGCCCTTGAGGGTAGTATTTTTATGTCACTGAAACAAGACAGTTTTCACATTTGCAGAGAGGTCCAGTCTCTGTCAGCACACAAAGCTTTAATAATTCAGACCAGCTATGGTTGAAGGATTTGAGTAATATATAAGGCTTGATCAAAAGCCGAGGCTGTGCTGGCACTTGTGGATAGGACACTAGTGTGGTCGGTAGCACAATATTGTACTAGGCATGTGTCCACAGTACAAAGTGCTCAATTGCAACTGCTTGTGGGGTGGGGTGCTCTTAGCTAAGAGTGACAGATTTCCAAAACACATGGTCCCCAGATGAATCTCATGCTGTGACTCAATTTTTAAATTCAAAAACGCTTTCTACTGTATCAACTCATTTTAACCTGTCAGGGTTTATAGTGAGAATGCTTTCATTTAATAAAAGATATGACAATCCTTTGCATATCAAAAGAAATAATTCTGATGTGCAAGTGGCCCCATGAAACAAGTTACAAAGTGAAGATTCTATTTTTAACTTTACTTTCCTAAAACATGCGTTTTATCTCTATAAACTACTGGAATTCGGTAAAAAAAAAATGTTTAAAAGTAGATATATGTTGTATTTTAAATATGTTTAGTAGTGATGACAAAATAAAATTAGTTTATCAGAAAGGCCTTAATGTGTTCATTAACATTTCACTATTAGATCCTGGTGTCACGGGATGTAAAAATATAAATAGTCTTCAAATACATTTACCAATCAGAACATAGACTGCTGTCATTTGATGAAGGAATGCTCTGCCAAGCAGGAAAAAGTCTTTGAAGACAAGACTTAAGATATGAGGGGAAAAAAAAAAGTTAACTATTCACAGCCATCGACTCTGCAAAGGCAAATATTGAGTTGGACATGGATTATGGTCTCCTGTGACACCAGGCTACAGTGTTTGATGCAGTAATGACCTTGGAGGCTTTTCTAAAAATGATAAATTGTCCAACAGCTGGCTTACCAGATCATGCCTTGGTTGAAGATCAGAGCGAGGACATTGCCACTGATGTCAAATTCAGTGTATGAAGGCTAGAGGAGACACAGATGTTCACTGGATTAACATTTCATATGGTGACAATTGAAAGACAGGTTTCTCTGCATAGACATGTCTGGGCTTTCAACTACCTTCTGTCAGTAGCCATAGCAGAATGACCAATATAATAAGTAATCAGAGACAAATAAAATAATAAAAAAGCATGCTTTAAGACATAGTAAGACTCATGTCAAAATGCTGTCATTCAATGCTTTGAAAAGTGTGACAAGACACACTGTCTTACATGGTAAAAACTGTGGAAGTAAAAACCAGCAAACTTTTACAAAAATAATTTGACAATGCATGTTAAAATCTTTAAAAGTCTCATTTTCTTTGACCACGTAAGTCTATTTCTAGGAATTTGTGTTAACAAAGTAGTCTGAAAAGCTGATGAATTTTAACAAGCAATGATGGAACCCGTTAAATATACAACACTGGTTAAGTAAATACAGTATATCTATACTGTGATATACATTGCAGATAATTAAGATCATTTTGGAAGGATGTTTATATACATGAGCAAAAGCTTTGCTCTAATGTTAAAGAAAAAATATAAAATCATATATTCATTATTTTTAATCAACTCTATATGAAACTATGCATACAGAAAAGACTGAAAAGTAATTGGCAAAATATTAACAGCTTATATGAGGGTAATAGACTATGGTTTTTGTTTTCTTTATTAAATTTTGTATATTTAAAACATTTTTTCAATAAAAATGTAAATTAATTTTACAATAAAATAAATATAGAAAAAAATATTAACAGAAGTTAAAAAAGTTATTCAATTCAATGTCCAGTCTCCATGTCCTAGATAATACTATCATGCTCAGGGTAGGGATGTTCTTTGCACAGAACAGTCACCAATAGGACCACAGCAGGCATCTGTGCTAGGGTGGCCCATCCAAAGGCTTCCTGGTGACACATGAGGCATCCTAGCAGGAATGCTTCTATCAGTGGAGTTAATTAGCAAAGACAACAAAACTGGCTCCTATTTAATTTGGGATAGAGAATTCAGAGATTGACTGATTGGTAACAAGAGAATAAGAAAGCAGAAAACATAAAGTGAGAGGGCCAAGAAAACCGTGAAAGAGAGACCAAGAAAGTGGCAGGTTCCTACCTGCCCCAGATCCTAATATCTCCAGGTGTGCTTCAGACCCTATGGTTCCTTATAATAACTCCCTTTTCCCACACACACACACACACACACACACACACACACACACACACACACACACACACACAAGATGACCTGCCCTAAGAACTCAAAAATATATTTGTAAGAAGATAGAATAGGTCTCTGATTTGGAACTTCAATAAAACTACCCCCAACCTTCAAGCGCTTTGCCTCAACTTCCTCGCTTTCCCAAAAGGCATTAGTATTCAACTAAGAGATGTGAGCAATCTGCCTTGTAACAGGTTCAGGGAATAAACAGCATACCTGCATGACAAAAATGGTTAATTCACAAGATAAAACGATAGGATGTTGCATAATGAAATAATAAATAGCCCTGTATGTTAAATAGGACAAAGATGAACTGGATAATTTCAACATAAATTTATTCAAGTTACTGTTAAAGGATATATGCCAAGTGTTTCACTATTTTGCAGATTTTGTAAAAGTGTGATGTTCACAGAGCAAAAAGGTTTGGTTGATAGTTTCTGTTCTAAAAATCAACAATTAAAAAGTGTTGTTCATGAAGAAAATAAATTGGTTCTCATCTTGAGAACACGCACTCTGAGTCTTTCTTCTTTTGGGGGAGTGCTTTGCTCTGGAGCCCTGTGTGATCATCACAGAACACATTTGAAAAATGCTCAGTCGGGTGGCCAGTGCCATCTGTGGCCTTGGAACTGCTTTTCTCTGGGTCAGTTCAAGAATCAAACCTTCAACCTTGGCCTCTTTAGAATGGTGTTATTATTTAGCCCACCAAACTACTGAACATGGAAAGAACTCAGACTTTTAGATGTCTATTTCCTTTACTCTCTCACAAGCACACACACCTCTGGAAGGTCACTGGAGATGAGATATTGCATAACAAATTGACCAGAAAAGCACAAAGGACACACTGGGAATCCCTGGCCTTACACTGTGTTTGATCAGGGGCAGCTGGAGAAAATAAAATCTTTGATGTGTAAATTGAACTGATGCAAAGAAAGAATATAGGATAACCCTACTGGACCAAGCAGTTTTGTGGTACAGACATTTGACTGGGATTAAACCTGAGTGTCACTTCGCCCCACCCTTTCCTAGCTGAGTGAGCTGACCCAATCACTTAGCTCTTCAGGCCATAGTTTCCTCACAGATAAATTCATGAAATGAACTAGATCAAGGGTCACCACACTGTGGCCCATGAGCTAAATCTAAACTGCCACCTGTTTTTGTAAATAAGTTTTTATTGGAATACAGCTACGTTCATTCATTTGTGTATTATCTCTGACTGTTTCGGACTAAAACAACAGAATTTAGTAGTTACAACAGAGACCATATGGCTTGCAAAAGCTATACTTACTATCTGGCCCTTTACAGAAAAAGTTTGCCAACCCCTGAACTAGGTTATTTCTAAGATCCCTTTCAAACCCAAATATTTGTTACTGGTTAAAAATATACCCAGTTATTAAAGAATTGCTTCTTTGTAAACACCTCAAAATGGGGTTTAATTCTTTATGCATTAAACAAAGAAACTCCCACTCTAAATATAAAACATATATGAGAAGATAAAAAATTATATATGCATATTTATAATATAAAATTCAATGTTCATTCTTTTAGAGATAGACTTTTTTAAACATATGAGATTGTATTATATTCAAAATGTTTAAAGCAATATTTTAATAGATATAAATCAATTTGCAATATATTTGTTTAATTGCCTCTAAAATAGAGAAAGCTTAAAGGCAAATGATATTTGGGGAAAAAAATAAAACAGGTTTTCTTGAAATTTGAGAAAGTGAAATGATTCAAATAAGATAAGTATAATCAATTCACTAATGGCCACTCATCCTTAGAAAGATTGTTAGTGGCCAGCGACAGAAAAACCAATTTGGATTTGAGCTGAGGTTCCTAACAAGGGATTGGAAATGATCCGGTTTTACTTTTGGACTTTGTTTGGGGCGTGCTATAGTCAATCATCTACCCAGAGGGAAGACAAATGGTGTTCATTGGACAAAAAAGCCTGGGTCGATCCATTCTCTCTCTGCACGTTTAGTTACTTGGAGCAGATTGCAAACCTACAGATATCATGAAACGCAATTCAGGATCTCACAGAGAATGAATCCTGTTATTGGTATGAGTGGCCTGGCCTTGTTCACACAAACTCCACTTCTCACAGCTGAAATCACCAGAGCTGCAGGCTGGCCTGGGCTGTGGTTCCAGAGCAGTGGTACTCCAGTGTGGTCCCCAGACCAGAGTCAGCAGCATCCTCTGGGAACTTGTTAGAAAAGCACATTCTCAGGCCCCACCCCACATCTACTGAATTAGAAATGCCGTGTCTTCACAGGCTCTCAGGAGATTCTGATGGATGAGTGTGCTCAATTTGAGAAGCACTAATCTAGGACAAAGCCTAGCTTCACCTACTAAAATGATTCAGCATTTAGGGCTTTTCACTTCAACCCTGGTTAAGAGTAGGATCCTGTTAACTGCAGAAACAACTTTGTCCACATATTGAAGTGGAACCTCAAATACAACTTTACTGTCCCTGTTCTTGTGTTCTCACCCCATCATGGGATGCCAATGACTTCTTACTCTTTTTCATGCTGTCTTCCTGAACTGCTACATAGTATCTCCACATTCCCAGCTAGAGAACAAGAGTGTATCTCCTAATTCTATATCCCAGCCCATATTGCCAACTCTTTTCTATTGCAAGTAACTGGTGTAAGCCTAGGAGCACCTTGAGTTTCAAACGCCACGAGTTTGGCTCATGAATTATTTATGCTCTGGCAGAGTCCTTGAAACTTCCACTGACCAGCTATGTGTCTTTGAGCAAATTATTTAACATCCTCTAAGCCTCAGTTTACTATAAAGTAGGAATAATAATATCTACCTCGCAGCATTGCTGGTATGATTATATGGAATAATACATGTATTCTGTAGAGTTTCTGACATATGATACGTACCACATAAAAACAGAATGCAATATAATATGATTAGGAATCCACTTGGATGATCTATCAATCATATGCATTTTATTTATGGATAATCTTAAGCCCCCTTTATCAGATCTCAAGGAAATCTTTCATATTTTCCATTTATATAAATTGAACAAGGATCACCTTAAAAATACAACTGTAAACAAGACACTGAATTTGATGAATATATCCTTACCCTATGCCCTACATTCAATCCTAAATGGTAAGGACGGTGTCAATGCAAATTAAAGTGAAAGTGTTGATGTAGAAAACCCCCACACACTCACGTATACACTATAGAACTAACTTTTTTTTTCCTTTATAGATAGCCTTTAATGATTAACTAAGATCATACTGAAAGCAGCTGTCCATCACTCCTGACGACCCTACCCTCTGTCTTGCCTGATAACATCTCTCGAAGCAGGAAGCAGCTGTCTGTGCTGCTGGAAGACTCCATCCTATCTCCCCAAAACATTTACCTATACAAATTCCAGCCCTCAGTGGAACAAGGAGGCAGTTGGGACTCTATCCTCTGTCTCCCAGTCAATGTCTTCTGAAATAAAAAGCCTTTCCTTTACATTCTGTCTGGCAGGTGTGACAGGTGATCCCATAGTGGCAAGCATTTGGACCCACACAGGTCAGGGATTCCCCCAACTAAGCTGCCCTCCCATGCCTTGGCTGTCAATGAAGGGGAATCCCACCGGACTCATTATGAAGGAGAATCCATGGGACTTGTTTCTTACCAATTTTTTGGTGCCCAACATGGGGCTGAGAGCTGCTCACAGCTGGGGTATTTGCAGTATTTGCAATATTCTGCCCATAGTGTTATAAAAACTCAACAGGGGTTCACTCGATAGGCCCATTTGTTGTA